GCTATAAAAACTAAAATTATCACTGATGGTTTAAGATACTCACTTGCTACAGGTAATTGGGGTGATCAAAAAAAAGCACATCAAGCTAGAGCTGGTGTATCACAAGTATTAAATAGGTTAACATTTGCATCAACATTATCACATTTAAGAAGAGTAAATTCTCCAATTGGAAGAGATGGAAAATTAGCCAAACCACGTCAATTACATAATACATTATGGGGTATGTTATGTCCTGCAGAAACTCCTGAAGGTGCTGCTGTTGGTCTAGTAAAAAATTTGGCATTAATGGCATATATAAGTGTTGGATCTCAACCTTCACCAATTCTTGAATTCTTGGAGGAATGGTCTATGGAAAACTTAGAAGAAATTGCACCAAGTGCAATAGCTGATGCAACAAAAATATTTGTAAATGGTTGTTGGGTTGGCATTCACAGAGACCCGGATCAATTAATGGCCACTTTACGTAAATTAAGGAGACAAATGGATATCATTGTATCAGAAGTATCTATGATAAGAGATATTAGGGATCGTGAAATCAGAATATATACAGATGCTGGGAGAATTAGTAGGCCTTTATTAATTGTTGAAGGGCAAAATCTATTATTGAAGAAAAGACATATTGATATGTTAAAGGAAAGAGATTATAATAATGATGGCTGGCAAGAATTAGTTGGTAGTGGAGTTGTTGAATATATTGATACTTTAGAAGAAGAAACTGTTATGATTGCAATGTCACCTGAAGATTTGAGACAAGAGAAAGAATATGCATATTGTACAACATATACACATTGTGAAATTCATCCAGCAATGATTTTAGGAGTATGTGCCTCAATTATTCCATTTCCTGATCATAATCAGAGTCCAAGAAATACCTATCAAAGTGCTATGGGTAAACAAGCTATGGGAGTATATATTACAAATTTTCATGTTCGAATGGATACTTTAGCACATGTATTATATTATCCTCATAAACCTTTGGTAACTACTAGATCTATGGAATATCTTAGATTTCGTGAATTACCTGCTGGAATTAACAGTATAGTTGCTATATTATGTTATACTGGTTATAATCAAGAAGATAGTGTTATCTTAAATGCTAGTGCTGTTGAAAGAGGTTTCTTTCGATCTGTATTTTATAGATCTTATAAAGATTCAGAATCTAAAAGAATTGGAGATCAAGAAGAACAATTTGAAAAACCTACACGACAAACTTGTCAAGGGATGCGTAATGCTATTTATGATAAATTAGATGATGATGGAATTATTGCTCCTGGAATTCGTGTATCTGGAGATGATGTAGTTATAGGTAAAACTATTACACTTCCAGAGGCAGATGATGAGGTATATATTTTTATATAATAATTTCATTAAATCAAATTTATTTATGATATCTTTTTACATCTTAAAATAATTACAGTTGGATAGTACAACAAAACGTTTTACAAAACGAGATGCATCAACTTTCTTACGTAATAGTGAAACTGGTATAGTTGATCAAGTAATGTTGACATTGAACAGTGAAGGATATAAATTTTGTAAAATAAGAGTACGCAGCGTTCGTATTCCACAAATCGGTGATAAATTTGCTTCACGTCATGGACAGAAAGGTACTTGTGGAATTCAATATAGACAAGAAGATATGCCATTTTCATGTGAAGGTCTTACACCAGACATTATAATTAATCCTCATGCAATTCCATCACGTATGACTATTGGTCACTTAATTGAATGTATACAAGGAAAAGTATCTGCTAATAAAGGTATTTATATGTTTTTATCTTTAATTATAACATAATATATTAAAAATTTAACAAGTATATTTAATAAATTGATTATAATATATATTTCTATAGGTGAAATTGGTGATGCTACACCATTTAATGATGCTGTAAATGTACAGAAAATTTCTACACTTTTACAAGAATATGGTTATCAATTGAGAGGAAATGAAGTCATGTATAATGGTCATACAGGCCGCAAAATAAATGCTCAAGTTTTCTTAGGACCTACTTATTATCAACGTTTAAAGCATATGGTGGATGATAAAATTCATAGTAGAGCTCGAGGACCTGTACAAATTTTAGTCAGACAACCTATGGAAGGAAGAGCAAGGTAAATTATATATAATTTTTATTTTATTTTATCTATTTATATATCTATATTATTTTATATCTATCATAATTTAGTAAATAAATTTACTATAAATTAATATAAATTAATTTAATATTAAAATATATTCATATTTTTAATATATAATGTAATTATATATTCATATATCTAATATATAAATTTAGAGATGGAGGTTTACGATTTGGTGAAATGGAACGCGATTGTCAAATTTCTCATGGAGCTGCACAATTTCTAAGAGAACGTTTATTTGAAGTCTCAGATCCATATCGAATACATATATGTAACTTTTGTGGTTTAATTGCAATAGCAAATTTAAGGAATAATACATTTGAATGTAAAGGATGTAAAAACAAAACACAAATTTCTCAAATTAGATTACCATATGCAGCAAAATTACTTTTCCAAGAACTTATGGCTATGAATATTGCACCTAGATTAATGGTAGCATAATTATAAACCATATTTTATATTACCATTAGTTTTGTATTTTATTAAAATATTTAAAACCATATAATTTATTTGTTAGTTTAACATTTTATGTAAGATTTTTATATATATATATAAGTACAATTATAATCATAATAATATAAATCTTAATAAATAAAAATGTTATTCTTTATTTTTTTATAGTGCTAATATTTAAACTATTTTTATCTAGAAATTTAGATATGAATATATCACACTATGATCTATGAAAAATATGATTTAAATGCATTTCATTATATTTTTCATTTACTAATTCTAATTAACAAAACATAATAAATAATATTAAGAATTATTTTTGTATATTATTATTATATATTGTTTCTATTAGATAGAATATAGTTTGTAATTAAAATAAGAAATATAATTCTATTAGAATATTATTTTTTACATTTAAGTAGATTGTATAAGACATACATCTAAAATACAAAATTTTGCTCTGCATACTGGACAGGTACATTTAGAAGATAACCATGTTTCAGGTGCATTTTCATCTTGTCTTGATGCAAACCTATAACAATATAATTTTCATTAATATATTTGTATTATAAAATAAAAATTAATATATTTATTATATATATTATATATTAACCATTTTGCCATACAGTCTATACACCACATTGGACGACAATAACATACCATACAATCTTCAAGATTTCCACTTCCTATACCACTACTACATTGTTTATTCAATTTTATATTTGATAAGGCTTGCATACATCCTATACATTGACCTAATTCCTTTAAATATTTTTATATAACAATAATTCATTCAATCATAAATACAATATTAAATTTATAATAAATAAAATACCTCTGTATATTCATAATATGGATTTTCTTGTACTTGTTCTTTAAAATTATCAATAAATTTATCAAGTAAAGTTTTATGAAATGTAATATTCTGTAATATGATAATAGGACGAGATACTTTATCTTGAAGATTTTTAAAGTCAAATACATTCAATCTTATATCAAAAGGTTGTGATCCTGGTCTAGTAGGTTTTACCTGCATAATGACAAAGATTAATTATAATAAAAAAATAATTTAAATCAAAATAATTTTACTTATATAGAAAATTTTTTTTATAAAATAATTTTATTATTAATTAATTTTTACTAATATTATTACTAATATTTACTAATATTTATTATAATTGCTATTAATATTTATAGAATGTTATATTTATAATTAAAAATTTACTTCAATATTAATAAATTGAACTTCTCCTCTTGTCAAAGGTGACATTTCATGAGTATCACTTTTATTAACTATTAAAGCTGTATCATTTTGGTGGGCAACCATTATTTTATAAGGTAAAACTTTAATTATCCAATTATCGGTGGCTATTATGGATGTTATACTATTTGTAGTAATTATTGTTTTATCTATTCTAAAATAAAATATTAATCATTTAGTCACTTTCTAAAACAATATATTAAATAAATAAAATTCTAAATTTAATATATAACCTTTGATATTCTACATTAATATCAGAAGCTACTGTAGTCCATGACAATCTGTTATTATTATTGCTGTTACAATAAATTGCAAGATTTTGTGCTATTGGATGTTTACTCCAATTATTTATTGACCATATTAAGATTTTATATAAAGTATATAAAGGCATCAATATAGAGCAAGTAACAAATATTGACCATAAATTGACATGACTTAATAATGCACTGACAACATCTACATGTCCAAACAAAACTAAACCAAAAGCATAACCTATTTAAAAAAAAATTTATTTCAACATAATATAGAAAATATTTAGAGTAAAAAAAAAATAAATATATTTACCAAATGGGAGCATAGAATGTATAAATAATGTAATAATACTTCTTTTTATATGATATTGTACAAAAAATTCATTTTCACTACCTAACCAATTTGAAAATATATCTTTTATGGTTAAACCGGCTGATACAAATTCTGTAGGTGGATATATGATACATCCTGACATTAAAATATAAAATAAAGTATAAAAAAAGAAAGCAGACATTTTTCACAAAAATATGTTTCCAATTGTATATTTTTAGCTTTTTATCTAATTGAAGAAAGACTTTTACAAAAATATATTTAATAATTAATGATTAAATACCTTATTTTATGAACAATATTTAAAGTGAAATAATAGGTTAGATACAATTGTTATGATGGATTCTTATGAAAATTGTTATTTTCTAAAATAATTTTAATTTTTATGAATATTTTTTATAATATAAAAAATATTAAAATATTTTATACTTTGTCCCCGTAATATAATTTTTCAAAAAAATTATTTCTTTAAAATTATTTTTTATCAAATAAAACAAAAATAATATTTTTAAAATTAATACGTGAAAATCAGCCTATAATTACTTCTATATTTTATATACAAATATATAGTCGATAGTTTATGACAATTCGTAAGTTATCTTTAAATGCTATTTGAAATAAGTGATTATTTATAATTATCTTTGCAATTATTAAATATTAATGACGGAATTTAACATTAAAACAATATGATAAATACAATTTTTTTGTTAAGCGTACGTATTAAATTTTTTATATATAAGTTCATTGTTTATATTCATATAAAAGCATTCTATTATATTTTTGTTTTTATAATAAAAGATGTAAATAATGAATGAAAATTATATATTGAATATCAAAAAAATATTTGTTGGAATTTGAATTTTATTAAAAAATATAATAATTATATTATATTATTAGTTTTATATATTATTAGTATTTTGTTTACAATATATTTATACTTAAAATATTTATATTATCAATTATTTTTGTAATCAATGATTACAATTTTTTTATTTCAATTTTCTTATTAATTAAATCTGATATTCTTTAGGTAAAAATCTATCTTTTTTAAAAATGAGAGCTATTTTACTGTTTTTAATTTTAATCCAAACAAGAGGAAAATCAATCCAAATATGTCCAAAATATTGTACATGTAAACCTGGTGCACAAGCTGAATGGTTACGTATTAAATGCAATAATGAATTACAGAATATTAGAGATATCAATATCGATAGTGTCAGTGTGGAATTAGTTCAATTGTAAGATTATATTATTATAAATTGTTCTATATAACTAATTAATATCTGTTTTTTATTATAAAATATATTTAATATATTTCAGAGATTTAAGTAAAAATAATATTTATGCCATTGAAGCTAATATATTTAAAAATTTGACAAATTTAAAACGTTTGAATTTATCACGAAATGATATAACTTTTATTGGTGAAGATTGTTTTAATGGTCTTGAAAATTTAGAAAGACTGTAAGAATATTAGTTATTATTAATAGATTATTCATTATTGAATATATTTTATAAATATATTTAATTGTTTTATTTAGGGATTTAAGTAAAAATCAAATTTCAACTATTGATATTTACACATTTAAGACATTATCAAATTTAAAAAGACTGTAAGTTCATAAAGTATATAAAATATATTAATATGATATATATATTATATATATTGATGTATACTTTTATGTTTTTTTATCTTAAATATTATTTATTATATTATATTATATATTATATTAATATTATATATTAAATATTATTTATTTGATTATTAGTGATTTATCAAGCAACAACATAAGTACGATGAAACCATCATTATTTCATGATTTACTGGCTTTAGAACGCTTGTAAGTGAGTTTCTAATTTTAATTTTAATTTACTTTGTGTGTGTGTGTTTATTTTTTTTATTATAAATATATATACTTATATATTATATATATATGATTACAATTATATTTAAAAGATAATATTGATTTTTAAAATATTATAGGAAATTAAATGAAAATAGATTGACAACTTTAATGGAAGGTACTTTTTATAACCTAAAGTTTTTAAAACAGTTGTAAGTAAGTTATTTATTATTATAAGTATATAAAATAAAGTTATTCAAATTTCAAATTTTATTTTAGAGATTTGTCTAATAATCCATGGAGATGTGATTGTGAATTGTACTGGTTTAGTAATTGGATTTATAATAGTTCTATTAAATTAAGGTAATATATATTTATAGAAATAATAAAATAAAAAATTTTTTTATAATTTAATTATAATTTCTAATAGATTTTTAAACATTTCAGTCCTGCTCCAAAATGTGCATCACCTTTAAATGTCAAAGGTGAATTTGTGAAGGAATTAAAGTATTCAGAAAATATTCAATGTCAATGGTTACCACCTACAATTGAACTTCGACCAGTTCATAATCAAGTAGTATTTGCAGGAGATTCTATAACTTTAAAATGTAGAGCACCTAGCATAACAGAAGACAAAAATGCAAAATTAAGTTGGTTATGGTATCCTAACACTACTTCTGAAATCATAGATTTAAATTCATTTTTAGATCCACAAAAAAGTTTATCTAATATTAAAATTGATAATAGATATCTTACAGATAGTGGTATTGTGGATAGGTAATTTAATATTTAATATAATATAAAAATTAAAAAAAAACTTATACATATAATATAATATTAATAATATTATCATTTTTATAGTTCACTTAGTATTGTTCCAGTTAAAAAAGAACATAATGGTCAATGGAATTGTTTATTAGTTTCTACAAATGGTAATAGATCAAAAACAATTAGTGTAATTGTTATTTCTGAAGAAACTCGTTATTGCCCTTTAGTAGGTAAGATAAGTTATATATTTGAAATTTTAATGTAATAATATCATAAATAATTATGTTATTACAGTAACTAAAAGTAATAAAGGTATGTATACATGGCCAAAAACTGTAGTAGGATGGAAAGCAGAATTGCCATGTGAAGGAAATCATTTATCAGGTTTAATGCAAATACCTTTAAAAGCTTCTTATCAATGTAATATTACTGGATACTGGGAAAATCTAAACACAGAATTATGTCCTTACATATCACATATAACAAAAAGCTTAGAACAGTTTTCTAAAGTTAATCTTTCACTTACAAAAATTAATTTATTAGAAACAGCAAAGAAATTCAAAAATTATACCGGAAATGCTATAAAAATAACTGATCCTATTGAAATAAATTTTATAACTCAAACTATAGAGAATTATTTAAATTTTATAATTGAAGAAAAAGAACTTGGTTCCATGTTAATCGATGTTATTAGTACTTTAATTAATGTACCAAAGAATATTTTAAGGAAAGCTGAAATTTCTTTTAAATCTTGTACACGGATAATAAAAGCTGTAGAAAAAATTATAGAATTTACTCCATCTATACAATTTTATAAGAAAAATATGGCATTGGAAGAATTTAGAGTTAAACGTGATAGTTTCACAGGATTGATATGTACATGGTATTCCAATAATAATCCAGAAATACGATTTTTACAATGTACAACAAATAATAGAACGTCACCTATTAATATAAAGGATAGAGTAATTGAAGCATCAATACATTTACCTGCATCTTTATTACATTATTCACGTGAGATTGTTGCTTATCAATTAATGATTTCTGTATATAGCAATAACAGATTGTTTCCTAAAATAATAACAATGATAATATGGATATTGCATCTTGTGTCATTGGAAGCAAATTATGTATGTATAATTAAAAATTTTAAATGTAAAATATTTTTATTGAAAAATAAAATAATTTCAAATTTATTTTCAGATGGAATGTCAGTACAAAATTTAACTGAGCCTGTATATATTATGCTTAAAGTACCTTTATATTATTATGCTGGAAAAAAATTATTACCTGTAGTTTGGGATGAAACATTAAATAAATCAGGTGGTTGGACAAGTGATGGTTGTCATTTAAGAAACGTATTAAACAATTTAATAGTATTTCATTGCAATAGATTAGGATATTATGGCCTTTTACAAGATACATCTTCATTTGATTATGATGATAACAGGTATATATTATAATATTAATAAATTTATATTAAATATATTAATTTTTAATTTTTTTTCTTTTTTTTTTTAGCATAAATGGAGCAAAATTTAGATATTCAAATCCTGCAATATATATCGGTAGCATTGCAACAATAACATGTTTAATTTTTATGTCTGTTACATATATTATTTGTTACACATCAATTACTATGCCTAAAAAGGCAAAACATTGTGTTATTAATACTTGGTTTGCTATGGCATTATTATCATTTTTTTATAGTATTGGTATTTATCAAACAGAAAATATACCAATTTGTCAAGGTGTTGGTCTTATTTTGCATTATTTATCTTTGTGTTCTTTGTTATGGATGGCAGTATTTGCGAGGTAATCAATTTTTCTTTTATTTTTTTTTTTAATTTAAAAGTAAATATTAAAACATTAATTTATTTACAGCAATATGTATAAAAAATTATCTAAATCAGATCTTGAAGATATTCCAGATAATGAACTTCAAGATCAACCAATCCCAAAGCCATTATTAGGACTTTATTTAGTTGGCTGGGGTATAGCTATGATCATTTGTGGTATATCTGGTGCAATAAATTTACGAGAATATGCTGGATATTCTTATTGCTTTCTCACATCTGGTCCTGCACTTGTTGCTCTCTTTGTTCCAGCTGGAATTCTAATTACGTATTTAATTATTTTTCATTTACTTATTAAATGCTCAATACAGAATGTTGATATGAATGCTCAGTTATCTGAAGGTACACAAGCTACAGAAAATATGGATTTAGAATTATTGGAACCGAATACAAATATTTCTGTAGATAGAAATAGTGCACGTAGTGCACAAACTGTTTTATCTGATATTGAAGATTCAGAACATTCTCAAATAACTCAATTAAAAGGTCAAATTATTACATTAATTTTATATTTAATATCGTGGATTACTGCAGCAGCAGCTATGACAAAACCACTAAATGCATATATTTCATTTGATGAGACTATATTTGCTACATTATATTCATTTTTTTCTAGTTCACTTGGTATTTTTATTCTTTTTTTTTATGGAATTGCACGAAATGATGTTCGGTCACAATGGTTGAAAATGGGTTGTTGGTTTCAAAAACGGAAAAATCGATGTTGTCGAACAAGAAGTATTTCTGATGCAAATCCTGTGATAGCACCACAATCTTTAGTACAAAATTTAGTACCCCCAATATCTAATTCTCAAGCTACCCAAGTTACATCTGATTCAAATTCCATTAGTTCATCCAGATATACCAATAGATCGCAAACTTACAATGCGTTTAAAGTTACAGATATTATAACAAATCAAGAAATCTCACCTGTTAATAGAAAAATGACAAATGTAAACTTAGTTGTATTACATAGACAACAATACAGATCTGACAATTCTGTTACAACATATATTGAACCAACTTGTGTTGAAATGTTTTATAATCCTCATCAAAGTGGAGTTGCTAGAAAATTCTTCAGAAAACAACGTCGTCATACAAAAAATAATAATCTCGGTCCTCGAAAACAAGGTGATGGAGGTGCTGTAAGTGATGCTGGTAGTTGTATTTCTGTTCCACGATCTAGTACGAAATTAGAAAGTAATATAGACCAAACTATTTTAAGTAGCAGTGCAAAAGTAAATAATACAAATATCCATGTTGAATTAAATCCAATAAATGATATTAAAAACGTTAATATACTCTCAGATAGCGGTGGTAGTATTTCAGAGGAAAAAAATGTTCCAGTGCGATTTGTTATTGGTCAAGAAAGTCTTTTTCGAAACGTAAGAAAAGTTAATAATAATTGTAGATTACATGATTCTATAAACAGAATGTCAAATTCTGCAAGAAATAATTGCCAAAAAGAATTACTAAATTTAACTTTACATGATTCAGATATAGATATTAAAACTGATGAAGAAAAACACTTACAAAGTGTTTCACAACAATGCAGTTTAGAATATAGTTCTGAAATTGAATCACAAATGATTAGTGAAAAAAGTGATCATAATTTGTCAGAAATTTATGAAACTGTAGAAACTGTTACAGAAACAAAATTTTTAAAAAAAGATTGTCAAAGTATGAATGAATTTTATGAATTAGAAGAACGACAGTCTAATGTTACTTTAAAATGGTTGACTCATTCTAATAGCATGCATTGCCTTCCAATAGATACTGTAAAACCATTAAAAAATAATTATTGTAATTCATTAAATGACATCACGTCTCTCACCAGTTTAAAAAAATGTGAATATTTAAAATCATTTACAGGCCTACAAAATATTACAAGCTCAAATTTATGTGATAAAAGATCCCTATCTCAAAAATCATTTAATAAATCAGAATTATCTTTTTTTAAAGTAAATAGCGCAGCAAAAGATAATTTAATACCAACTACAACATATATAACTCCTGAAATAAGTTTTGAATGTGCCTCTAATACATGCACTGATGAATATAAATCTAAACAAAAACTTGTCAATTCTATGATTGATATGAGATCTCTTATGCATAGTTCTTGTAATATTATAAGAAATTTAGATACAAAAAATGAAGTAGAGAGTTTAAACAAACAACAAATGATACAGAATATTGAAACCAATAAAACACATTTAAATAATCCAAATACTTATCTACAAATAGTCAAAAAAGAAACAAGTGTTTAATCTAGTTTTGCTTATCTAAAACACGTAATATATTAATATAGACATTTTATCTAAAAGAATAGAATAATTTTTCTTTCTTTAATAATATTTACAATTTTATAATATTAAAATATTAAAAATAATTTTTTTTTATTAATTTATCTATAAAACACAATTCCTATATAATATAAATATAGGAATATATATAATATATATATATACTTTTTTATAAAAATATTTTTAAAACATTTTTATTCATATATATGAAACATTATTATACTATTTGTTAGATATGTATTTATTCAAAAAAATTGTACATAATTAATACAAACAAATCCCATATTTTTATGAATTCTATATGATTTATTTCTTTGCTTTGTATATAAATTGTTTTGTAAAAAGAGTGCTCAAGAATTATATACTTATAACTAAAAATATATTTTTACTGAGATTTGCTTCCTTGATAAATTTTTTAGATTTAAGAATATTTTATAATTAACTTAATTAAATTTTTTACCAATGATTTTTTGTACTGTAAATTTTCATATATTATGATTTTTATAATTGTATGTGCAATGTATAAATATGCTCTATATAAGACTGAATATTTTACTAAATAAAATTAAAATATATCAAATTTGTTATTATCATCTGCTTTTACATGTCTAAAATAAGTTTATACAATATTTGAAAAGATGAATAATTATCATATATATTTCATATATATTTAAGTTAGTAAAATATATTTAAATAGTATTTTCAATTTTAAAATAGTATTAAAAAATAAAGACATGAGCACCTGTATTGCATACATACACAAAATTGTGTAGTATATAAGAATATTACTTTTATATAAAATTTATATATGTAATGTCTTTCTTATATTTGAAAAATATATTTAAATGTTTAAAAAATATAGTGTTATTTTATATCTTAATTTATATTTTTGTAACTGATACTTAATTGATATTGCTCTTGAAAATAACAAAAATTAAACATAAAAATTTATTACAAAAGTTAAAATTATTGCATTAAATTATATTTTAAATTAAATTAAAAGATAATAGTTTCATTAACTAAAGTTTCATAATATTAAGAGATTTTTTATATTACTTTAGCCATTCTTTAGGATTTCTCAATACATTAACAAGTTCTGCTTCTTTTGAATCAGGTTCTGGCTCATGCATATAATGCCATTTTGCTGACAAAGGCAAAGACATTAATATACTTTCATATCGTGCTCCAGGTGTATATAAACCAAATTTTGTACCACGATCATATATTAAATTAAATTCAACATATCTTCCTCTACGTAATAATTGCCATTGCCTTTCAGCATATCCATATCTATCATTTTTATGTTTTTCAACTAATGGAATGTAAGAAGGAATTACAGCTTCTGCACAAGATTTTACAAATTGAAATGCTTCTTCTTGACTAGGTGTATCAATATCATCAAAAAAGATACCACCTACTCCTCTACGTTCTCCTCTATGTGTAATAAAAAAGTAATCATCACACCATTTTTTATATTTTGGATAAAATGAAAGATCATGTTTATCACATGCAATTTTTAAAGTCTTATGAAATTGTTTTATATCATCTTCATTTAAATAATAAGGTGTAAGATCAGTACCACCTCCAAACCACCATTGAATTGAACCATCTGAATTTTCTACTTCAAAGTATCGATAGTTGAAATGTATTGTTGGAATCATGGGATTACGAGGATGAATTACAGCACTTACACCAGCTGCAAAAAATGGTACAGACCCTTCTTGCATATTTTTTCCACGTGCTCTCATTTGTTGTACTGCACCTGGTGGTAATGTACCAGTGACAACAGATACATTTACACCAGCCTTTTCAAAAACAACTCCATCTTGTAAAACACAAGTAATTCCTCCACCACCTTCCTTCTAATCCATCTATCAACTTTAAAACGATGATTTGGATCTTCTAAGGATTCCAGAGCTTTACAAAAATCTGCTTGAGTTGTCATTACTAATAATTCCATTTTCTTTCTCATATTCTGTCTTTTTCTTAATTCCTTAATATCAGTAATAGGTTGTGCCATAAATCTTTTTATATCCAATTCATTTTGAGCTGCTAATACTGTAACTCCTGAAGTACTATAAACTATGATACTTGTGAATATACCAATCCCAATATAGTTTATATTTTTAATTTTATGTTGAACTGTATATGAATATTTATGAAAAAAATGACGAAAAGAAATCCAATTTCTTAATAATACACGGGGTACCATAGTTATCTGTAATTAATATTTTATTTTATTTGTAATATTCTTATATAATCTTACAATAATTTTATAATATTAAACTCACATATAATATTAAACTGATTAATATTAAATTATTTTTACTTTTATATTAATAATTAATAATTAAAAACTTTTATTTTCAAATAAAAATATTATTATTAAAAATTATTGAATGAATTGCAAATTTTGCGTAATACAAAAATAACGCATAAACGAATTTATTTTTAAATAAATTTGAAATCTTTAAAATAAAATTCTATTTTATTATAACTATTTTTACTAAAGTAACACAATTATTTTTTTTATAAACTATTATAATAATATTATATATTTAAAATTTTAAGTTTGAAGAAAAACACGTGTGTCTCATAGAATTGTAAAAGTAATTGTACTATATAAAACTAAAAAATTAATTATTTTCTTGAATAATGATATAGTTCATTATAACAACTTAATTATTTACAAGTTATATTAAAATAATTTTGCAATAAAATAGATATTTCTAAATAATAATTGTAATAAAAAAAAGAAAAATATTTGTTAGAGGTTAATTGGTTATAAAAAATTAATACTTAATATATATAAATAACTTATAATTAATATTATTCTTTTAAAAAAATGTGGTCTAAAAAACAATTTAGTCAATTTTTTAAATATTCTCAATTTTTTACACGGATTTTGGTATGTTATATAATACAAAAGAATATTTATTTTATTTGTTATTGTTTTTTTAATTAATAAAATTACACGTTTTTTTACAGTTAAAAAAACAATCAACACAATGTAATATAGATATGTTGCATATTCCAGAACCTGAATATGATGTAGATTATATATGTAATCCATCTAATCGAGATATTATTTATAATAATATATTAGCAAGAAAAAGTATTGGAGATATTGACAAAGTTCTGGAATTTTCAAAAAAACCAGAATTAAAGAAATTATTCCTAAATGAATTAAATAAAATACCAAATCAAACAGATCCAATAATATTATCTTATGGTAGAGAACCAAAAATTTTAAAAGAATGTGGATACAAACCAAGATTTGACTTTGAACCACAAGAATTTTCAACATTAGTCACAAAATTAAAAGCATTCAAAGGTGATATTTTGAAACCCTTAATAGGACAACGTGGTTACTTATTTTTAGGAGATTTAGCAGAATTAGAAGAAGCATTGATTTATCATACAATCAAAACATTAATGAAATACAATTTTAAACTTGTTTCTGTTCCTGATATTATTCCTACTGAGGTAATAAAAAGATGTGGATTAATATTTGATAACGGAAGAGATCTTATATATAACTTAAGCCCATTTTATGGAGATTACAGTTTATCTGGAACAGCAGAAATGTCTTTAGCTTATAAAATAATGAATACCATATTCGATTCTGAAGATTTACCATTAAAAATGGCTGCTGTAAGCAGATGTTTTAGAGCAGAAGTATCTAATATTCATCAAGAGAGAGGTTTATACAGGTAATATCATATTAGATATTTATCAACATAATTATATATGACATAATAATTATTTTGAAATTAATAATTTAATTTCAAAATAATTAATTTAATTAAAATTATATTTTGTTTACACAATGCACAATTTTATATATATATATATATGTATTAAGGGTTCATCAGTTCACAAAAGTTGAAATGTTTGTATGTTCAAAACATGAGGAATCTGCAAATCAATTTCAAGAACTTCAAAATATTCAAGAAAATTTATTTTCTTCTTTAAATTTACATTTTCGAATAATTGATATGCCATCTTATGATTTAGGATCTCCAGCATATAGGTAAATGATATTATTATACATAAAATTGTTTACATTTTAAATATCTTAATATCATATTATAAATTTATATATTTAGGAAGTAGATATAGAAGGCTGGATGCCTGGAAAAAAAATGTATGGAGAATTATCTAGTTGTAGTAATTGTACAGATTATCAGTCACGAAGACTTGGTATAAAATATAAAACAAAGAATGGAGAACTTTTACATGTTCATACTTTAAATGGAACTGCATGTGCTATACCTCGTATGTTAATTGCACTATGTGAATCATATCAAACAAAATATGGTCATATTACAGTTCCAAACATTTTAATACCTTACATGACAGAAAAAACACTTAAAAAACAAAAAATTGCAGATACAAAACTTCATAAATTTAAGATGTTTAATCCATAAATATATTAGTACTTATACAATGAAATTTTTTTCTAATGTTTAGAAATAAAAATAGAAATAATAATAATTTCATTATTATTATTGTTATTTATGAGAATATACGAAAAAGTAGTAGATTTTATTAGAATTAATATTTTAATATTTGAAAAATAATATTTTTTATAATTTATTACGATATTTTAATTTCATAGCTACATGCGAAAATATGTATTTAGATTAGTAAACATTGTATATACTTTATCATGCATGTATGTATATATTATATAAATCATTATAATATTTAATATTTAATATATTATTTGAACTGGAATTTTAATTTAATAAAATAAGAGTAAAATTGAAAAAAATAAAATTTTTACTTTTAATTATATATAAATGTTGAAAATTATTTTATTCTTTTGATTTTCTTTTCAAAGTCAATTAATTTTAAATATATTTTACAATTTCAAATTATTTTATGTATTATATAATTATACATTTTAAATATTTATAACATTATAAATTACTATTATATAGGAAATTAAATAGGATTTATAGAAAATTCAAATATTAAACACCACCTGACAATATATTTTCTAAAAACTAGTACAATATTATCATACAAAGAATGTGGGTTTGAAAATTATACGTACACAGGGGTAAAGATCTTTTCTTCATTAACTTGTTATTCTGTATATATTTTGTAGCGGTGTTATAAAAATGTAACACAAAATATTTTTTCTTAAAGTAATACAATTTAAAGACACTGTCAATTTACAATCTCCTTTGCTAATTAGATGATAATGTTTTTTATTCATTAATGATTAAAAAACTGTATATACTTGTCTTGATATAGTATGTCTCAGAATGATACAAACTTTATTTTTTCAAAATTTTCATTTATCAGTGCAATCCAATTTCAGTTCATATTTTGATCCATTTTAAAAATTTTGGATAAAATCCAAATATATATATATATATTTTTTTTTTTTTGATAATGAAGCTTATATTATTCTGAAATAATATAAATAATAATGTAATAATAAAAATAATATAAAGTTGAAAACTTTAGCTTAAAAAAGCTGTAAAATATTGATTAAACATACTTTTGTGTTTTTAATCTTCTTCTTCTCCTGATTCAGATTCTTCTTCTGCATTTTGTAACCACTCAACGAATTTTTTCATTTGATCTAAAAACATCATTTTTCCTTTAACAGAATGGCCTTCCTTATACCATTTCAAAATTACTTCTTCCGATATTACATCCGCTAAAATGAAAAGATTAGATATTAGATAAAAAGATGAAACAAATAGAAATCATTTATAAATCTACTATACGTTTAATATTATACAAACATACTTTTATAAAATAGTAAAACAATTTTTTGGAAGACTTTCATAAAGTTCATATTCTCATAACAAAATTCCTGGACCTTGAGAATAAGCGCATGCTCAGATCTGGCAGTGGTTGTAAAAGCATCAAACAGTAGAGTGTATACTTTTAAATGTTTCAGTGCTTGGTCAGCCACTAATTCTTCTTTTTTATTCCATTCAGCTTGACCCATAACTACAAGCCAAATCTAAAAACAATTTTTATTGTAATATTGTAACATAATATAATGTAATATAATATAATGATACTAGTCATAAAAATACGATTACCAGGCCAATAACTTCATGTTCAGGAATACCACTCTTTTGTGCCATTTCTTTGAGATCAAGTATAATATCTTTTAAAGGACGATTATCAGCCAAATCATCCAATAATAGTTGTTGCAAGTCTCGTTTTGCTTCTTGACTTGCTTGAGCTTTATGTAATTTTACAATGTCTGCAAGACCAACAGCTTCAAATACAGATCGAAAATACTCTTCGGTTCGTTTATTAGGCGGCACAAATTCCATTAACCTATTGATTAGTATTGAAAAAAAAAAAATAAAATAAAAATAAAAATAAAAAATAAAAAAAATAAAAAAAAATAAAAATAAAAAAAAATAAGAATAAAACAAAAAATCAATAGATATAAAAGAGTATAGATATAACAATAGATTTTAGAATATGAAATTTTCTCATACCTTCCTTCAATATTGCCTTTTTTCAATGCAGTCATTAAACTTGATAGACCTTTTTCCTGTCTCCAAGTGACAAAAACTTCTAATAGAAAGTCTAATGCTAAGTTGTCTTTAACCAGATGTTCATTAATTAAAACTGATAAAACAGTAGGTGGAACAGAACCATTAGATATCCATAGAGCTGTCATTCTAGCTAATTTTATTCTTTCTTTAGGAGTAAAACCTTTCATAAAAACCAATACTTTTTTCATTTCTTCTTCAAACATTTTTTCCAGATATTTATAACGTCTCATAAGCTTGATAAAAACCTATAAATAATATTATTTCCAAAATTATATTAAATATTGTATAATGAAAATCTTACAGAAAAATATTTTTTTTAAATATATCATAGAATAATATATATTACTTGTTCAAAATTTCGCATAGATTCCATATCTTCTGGTTGTTCAAAAACACAAGCAGTAGTTTTAACTGGTTTATCACCATCTTGAGCAATAGAACCGCCTGGAACCAAAAGTCCACCAGCTATTAAGATGTCAAATAAGTCCTCCCCATATCGGCGGTAATCTAATTTAGAGCCAGCTGCGTCCAAGTACTTTGAAATTGCATCTAAGTCGTTACCAGCCTTTTCCAAACCAAGCAAAATCGCATCTCGAAATCCCATTGGGTCATATTTTTCTTTTTCATCTAAAACATTATTTTTATAATTTTCATTATATACCATGATTATGATAATTATATCTATATGATAATTATAAGACATTTTTAAAAACATACCTCTTTTTCTGGTCTTTATGCGTTGACCTGATAATATTGGTTTTTCTATTTTTTGACTCATACAATACCTTTCTGGAAAAATAGAAATTTCAATAAATATGTTCTAAAACTTTTCAATTTTCTTGTAAATTAAAAAAGTTAATATATTTATAATATTCTTTGCCTTATGTTAACATTTAAATACTAACATTTAACATAAATTTTAAAAATTATTATAATTGTTTAAATAAAATTGCTTTCATATTTATTAAAAATATTTATATTTTAAGATATAAATTTAATAAGGTTAAAAAAGAAACTATAATGCAACCATAATGAGCTGGCATTTGACTTTAAATCTGTTGGCACTTCTTTGACAAATGGCGACTTTCATTAAATATATTCTATTACGTCAAGATTCCTACTTATAAATTAACTTTATAAAATTATTAGCATTCTCAAATATACGTTAAAAAATATATATTTTAAATAATTTATCATTTCTAAAATTAAGGTCATACAAGGAAACCGCTATGGCTGAAATTTATAAAAAAGTTGAACCTTTTATAAAGATCAGGTTATCTTATAAATGAACAAATATTATTTAAGTTTTTTAAAAACTTTTATTTCTTAACTTACTTAGATGCACGTCCAACTGTAGAACTACCCCTTTTCAGGTGTATAAGGGCGATACGAAATATCTCAAAGAGGATTTTGAGCACTTGAGATCAGCGAAACCGAAGAGAATCAACTTGAAGAGAAGCCACAATTGACAAGGAATAGATAGGATACTCGAATTTGCATTTCGAGCGTTTTTAACGCCATCTAAACAATTCAAAATGCAGTATTAAAACTAAAATTTGTAATTTGACATCTATTAAGAAAAAGAATATAACGACATCTATTTTAATAATATATTTATTAAGAATAGTGGTATAGATGTCAATACTCAATATTTAATTTAATATATGTTCATATTGTACAATATATTTAAAATAAATAAATAAATATATGTATATATTTAATAAAGCGCTAACATGTTTTTATTCTCGTTTACAAAGAAGTTTTTCAAGCGTATTTGTTTTAATATAAATTAAAATAAAATAAAATTATGATATTGACAAATAAACAAAAAGAGTTTTATTAATTTTTTCTTTAAGTAATGATATTATAAATGATGTACTAAATAATTAAATGTTATTATTAAAATATAAATAATATTGTAAATAAATAGTAAAATACATTATGCAAGACATTTATATTTATGGAAAATTAAAACTATTTCTGACTTTTATATTAAGAAAAGCTAATTTCTAATAAAATTTTTTCTTCACTTATAAATATGAATTATTTTTTTATATCGAATGTAATTATATATATTATTATTAGACATTATATATAAAACAACATGCATACATGAACTAGAGATATTGAAAAATATGTAAGAAAAATATAAAAAGTATATGCTAAAGAAATAAAAATATATACGAAAGAAAAGAAAAGAATAAATAAAAAACAATAGTATGTAAATAATTTTTTCTCCAAAAAATTTAAAATAAAATATTGAAAATATTTTATAATCTATCCAATGAAATATTTTTATGATTTAGATGAAAACAAGGCAGCTTTATAATTCTGAAATATAAATAGGTAATTACTTTTCTTAACATTAATTTATTTATGAAATTATTCTTTATTAATGTAAATATATTTTTTTAATTATTTATGACAAAAATTGATAAATAAAATCTATTTTTACAAAAATAAGCAATCTATTATAACAATTGGATTAGTAACTAATATTGTGTTGGATTATTTAGTAAATATTATTAGTATCAACTGAATGTCATGTATAATCGATTTGAATAATTTTCAAACATCTTAGGAATTTCATGATATATTTTATTTGAATTTAGATATGATTGTATTGATAATTTAGTTAAAATCGCAAAATATATATTTTGATTTATTTATATTTAGTCTAATAGAAGAAATTTTAATTATGTTGCTAAGCAAAATTTTTATACAAAACGAAATGACATTATGTGAAACTGTACAGAAATTATCTTTAACATTTTAAATGTGATTAAAGATTTTTAAGATATTTTTTTAATATGTTTATTATTATTATTTTTTTTGAATGAAATTGAATAGTCTAAAATTAAAATTAATAAATAAATATATATAGTTCAACTTGTTATTTATGATGCTGGACTTATTTTGATTGGAAAAATTTTGCCAATATGTTAAACAAATCTTTATATAGGAAGAAATAAAAAAATTGAACTATCATAATATATTTGTTTATTATTAACGTGCTAATTTTTAATCAGTTAACTCAATTTTTATTACATTTTTTTTTTTTAATAATCTATTGAACTAATAAAAATTGAGATATAACATTTTTAAAATAGTGATTGCTCCAGATGTAGATTCTAATTAAATCTTAAAATAATATAAGAATTATTCATATAGAAATTTTAATATATAATAAAACAATTTAAATTTATTCTATTTTTTTCTTAATGCATTAAATACACAATTGTAAATGCTAATATATTATTGATATATTATATTTATTTATAGATTTATATAGAAATAAATAAAGTACATATGTAACTTCATTATATGTTTGACATATTTTTTATTATTATATTTAACATTTCCATTTAATGTACTTACTACTTTTTTTATTTTTCTATTTATTAATATTTATAAAATTAATATCTTCAAAAAATTGTTTAATATTTTAAACAATTTTGTTTATGTAACAGAGTTATGTTAGAATTATTTATTTATTTGATATTCACTACAATCTCCTGATAGAATGACATGATTAAACACATATTCACAATTATTAAGCTGGTCATAATTTTGACGAATGTACTCCTTTCCTTGGTACATCAGTAAATGGTTTTGGCAATGAATATAAATTCTGACTAATTTTAAAAGACAAAATATCATCAATTTTTTTATATTCAATAGTATTTATTTCATTTGATTGCTCAGTATTTTTATTGGCTTCCACTACTTTTTCATTGTTTGAATTTTGATTTTTTAATGTAGAAATTACATGTACTGATAATTTACGTTGAATATCGTTTCGAAGTATGTTCTACAAATGTAAAAAATGAAAAATTTAATTTATATTACGATTTATTAAATAATAATAATAATATTAGATACGTACTTTATAAAACTCTAATATTTGTTCTTTTGTTATAGTTCTTAAATATGCAACTTCAATATTTGCTCGATCAAAATTATATTGTTGTGATACAATTTCATTCCAAAATATTGAAGATAAAGTGGTCATTTGTTTAGGTTTTTCAAGTCGTCGTATTGCTAATGATTCTTTATGTGCATTAAATTCTTCTTCTGTCATAGATGATATATTTTGCTGAAATATATTAAGTTTGAATGCAAATTCTGAATATTTAGTAATGTTTAAAATTTAATTACTAACCAACATAGAATTTAAAAATGTATGAATTCTTTGTTCAACATATTTAGGATGTCTATCACTTTGAACTATAATTCTTAAACCTTGTGCACCATTTGTTCTTCGAACTCCACTAAATACTATATATCCCAATTGTTCTTTAGTTCTTAATGTAGTAAAGCAAGGTTCTGATAAAATCTGTGCTAAAAGTTCTAGCAACATATTTGATTCTGTTGATTGTAAACCAGTTTGGCAGTAAATTTGTGTACATGAACTGCTATGATATTTAGTTTGCACTTCAAATAAAAAATGACAACCTAGGAAAAATATTTTTCTTAAAACAGAAAAACTATTATAAATAATTAAAATACATAAATAATATATAGAATAATATAATTTAATGTAATATAAAAAATATAGATATAATATGTCTATAAAGATTAATTTTTTATGAGAATTTTGATATATTTAAATTTATGATAAATTTTGATACAAATATTATTTTAAAACTTTTAATATAAAAAGATTAAGTACTTACCATCTTCTAATTTGATTTCACGATGTAAAATTAATTGTCTAGATAAAAGTGGAATTATATGAGGAATTGCATTTGATAATTTTGATTCTATCAGTCTTGCTGTTTCTATAGCTTCTGACATTGTCATATTACCATGTATTAAACATTCCATATGTATTTTACTTAAAAATTGTGGAATAAAACTTTCAACTTTTTCAACAGTTAAATCTAGATATAAATATAATAAATAAAAATTTTAATAATATTTTTATCTTAAATTACTAAAAATATTTTGACTATATAATATTAATAATATTAATTCTATATAATATTAAATATTAAAATATATTGTGCAATACTATATATATTATATTAATTATAATATTATATTAATAATATTATATTATAAATGAGATAATAGTTAAAATATAATTTTTTTAATTATAATAAATATTTTTTATTTATGTATCTATTTATTAACTAAAATAGCTAGATGTTTTACAAACTTACAAGACAAGGCATTTAATAATTCATCCTTCATCCAAATTTGTTCTGACAATAATACAGCAAGATAATAAACTGCATGCTGATATGGTTGTTCAGCTTTATAATTTTTTAAACTTCTAGAATACTAAAATTCATAAAAATTAATATGAAAATCAATAATAAATATAATAATATATAAAATATATAATACAAAAAAAATTAATAATAAAAAAATTACATTTTCTTTCCAAATTGCAAATCTTTTTCGATCAACTTTAAAATTAAGCATTTTATCTATAATTTTATCTAGTAAAACACGTTGTTTATCATCATAGCCAACAATTCCCAACTAAAAATATATAAAAATACAATTATATTATAATATACAATTGTATAATAAAATATTTAATCAGGATTTACTCACTGTCATCCCATATTTACTATTAGTAAGTTCCCATTTAAGACCAACTATATCAGCAGCATATGCAAATTCATTTAAAGCATCACGAAATAATAATACAAATATGTATGTTAGATTATAACTAAGAGGATCCAAATATGCTAGTGGACTGTAAACAAAATATTAAGCAATTTTATAATATATTTAATATAAATATGAATTAAATTATATCATATGATAAATGATATAAAATTATATATGTATTTAGTATAAAGAGTTTTCTTAGTCTAATAAAATAGTATTAGTGAAAATTGACTACCATTTGAAAAAGCATAAATTTACATTATATAAATATTTTAAATAAATAAATAATTAGTTTTTGATGGCAAAATATAATTCTTTATATTTTAATATATATATATATATATATATATTTAGACTTGTATAGTTATTGGAATAATTAATAAACTTTATCTATGCAATCTTGTAACAAAAAATAATAATTTTATTATTAATTTAAGAATTTAAAAATTTAAGAATTCATTTCAATAGATATTAATTCATTCTCAAAATTAATTATATAATTACTTTATACATTTTTATGTATAATATGATAATACGTATAATACATAATCAGAAAGTTCATACTTTTTTAATTCAGTAATGCAATTATATTAAAATTGCTTTTACACATACATATGTATATATAAAAGCTATATCATCTTGAAAGAAATATGACAAACATTGTTGTTAACTTCATCAGAGATAAAATAATCAGGATCAGTGTATCATTCAACTTCTAACTATAATGCATATAAAACATTGAAATATTTTTAATTATTACAAATTTACAGAATTTTATTTTTTTTAAATATTTTTACCTGACAAAATCAAGAAATAAATTAGCCTTGGGTATAAGAAATTCTTCATCTTGCTTAAACCATAATCTTATTAACGAAGTATCTTCAATAATAACTGGAAATTTGGATGTCTACATATAATAAAAACAAAATTTATTATATATATACATATAAAAATACATAAAAAATAAATAAATGTTTATTTACTTTTTCTCCTATTGGTTTTATATCAAATTTTTCTGGTATAAACTCATTCTTTGGTGGTAATTTTAAATCTGGGTTTAAACCAGCATTAATCCATTTATTTATAATATCTTGTGATATCTTTTCTTTTTTAAATTTAACACCATACCATTTTTCGGTTTCATTAGCTATATTTTCAAATAACTTTCCAACTATATGAATTCTAACGTTTTCTGGTTTCAAAAATTCCATTATACATTTAATTAAATCTGGTTTCCATTGTAGAAAAAGATGTTCTACTATTAAAATGTCTTCTATTGGATAATCATATAATATTTGTGCTAAACCACTGACATAATCACAAGGATAACTTTTTTCTTAAATCGGAAATTTATATTTGCTACATCTTTATATTCCTTTAAAACAAAATAGTTATTTGATTAAATATAATTTTATCTTTACAATTAACACTTCACCAATGAAATGCATAATTTTTTAACAAATACTTAAGATTATTTCTTAATATATTATATAATTATATTAATTTTATAATATATAATATATATAATTAATATAATACATATATATATTATAATTAAATTATCATATTTTTAAATTTTTATTAAATATTTATTAAATATAGGAATATTAGTCCTTAATGATGAAGTGTTAAAATTTAAGTGTCTATATTAATTATATAATAATTAATTTATGAATAATTACATTGTAAATCCATTCAATTGGCTCATTTTTTTTTAACATATTAATATATTGGAAGGTTAATAGAACAATATCATCAATATGTTGAATACCTTCTTCTGTTAAATCAACGAAAACAACAAAGAAGCTAAAACCTCTCGCACCTAATCGTTTACCTGATCCTAATGAATTACACCATCCTTTTGCTTTCAATAAAGATAAGAGTGATCCTGCACCTTCATGTCCTAATAAATGTGAAATGTAATGTGCAGGCTAAAAAAAATAAAGTGAATATATTTTTATTGTATAAAAGAGAAAAACAATTTAATATGTTAAGAAATAACGTAAACAGTTATTACCGCCGATTTGTAATGTTCTCGTAAATCAGGTATAGGAAATATAATATACAAACTTCTAATGTCTTTTATTGGAACAATATACCACTTGTGTTGGAAGTGTTGTTCATTAAAAGGATGTTTTGGCCAAGTAGGTACTGGAATTTCTTTATTTTTCACTTTAGAAAATAACTCTACTACCATTTTTTCAAGTTCATTTAAATTCTCTGAAAATAAGTATTAATTTATAATTAATTTTTTATTTAAAGTTTTTATTTCATGTAATATAAAACATAATTAATTATAAATATTAAATATATTAAATATATAATTAAATATAGAATATATAAAAAAAATTATAATTTTAAAAATTAATTGATTAAGTAAATAAATAAATAAAATATTTGATTTACCTTTGCCAAGTACACATAATGCCATGATGTTAGAAGAATAAAATTTATTATGAAATTCAAGTAATTTTTCTCTTACATTTATTCCTTTTTGTTTTGGAATTACATCTAAGGTTTCCTTATTTCCAGTAGCAAACCTTGAAAAAGGATGATTTGGATCAGCAGATGATTTTTCTAATTGATCAAGGCGCCATGTGTCATTTGCTATATTTTTCTCACATTCCAAATGAATAGCATTTAATTCTAAATCAGTTAAAGCTTCTGTAAAAAGTGGTGCAATAAAAAATTGTGCAAAACGATCTAATGCACCTCTCAATTTTTCTGCATGTACATCAAAATAATAAAGTGTATGATCCATATGTGTTGATGCATTATATGAACCACCATTTTGTGATAAATATTTATTATAATCATTTTTTTCTGGATATTTTTCCGTTCCTAAGAATAACATATGTTCACAAAAATGTGCTAAACCTAGTAAATCATCTGGTTCACTTAAATAACCTATAAAAATATGTAATATAAAGATATAAAATTTATTATATTAATAATTATATAATTATATTTTATTATACTTTAAAATTAATATATATAATTATATAATTATTTGATTTTACCAATATTCACATTCAATGCTGCGGCACTTTTATCAGTTGTATGATCACTAATCAATAAAACTTTCATTTTATTATTAAGTAATAAACCTCTGTATTCTCTTTTATCATTTGGTGATTTAATTATGTTATTATATTGTTTTTCTATAAAATTATTGGCCATATTGTTGGCAGTTATTTTCATATTATATGATTTATATCTGAAAAAAAATAGGAATATATAAAATATAAATAATTCTTAATATTATTTGACAATAATAATTACTCAAAAAATAAAATTCCTTTTTATAATATAAATACTAAAATTAAATGATTTTTCTTTTTCTTTAATGACAAAAAATATAATGATATTATTACAAATATTAATACAATATTCATTTTCCTAAAAATTATTGTTAACACATTGAATATATAAATATTTAATAATTCTACTTACAATCTTGTATCTTGCAATTTTGTTTTATAACATTAAAATCTTTTTACTTAAATTTTACAATTTTGTTCTATCTCAATTAATTAAAAAAGAATTTTTTTTAATAATAAGGTTATTGTACGTGTTATAATAATAGCGCAATTTTTTAATGATCGATAATACAATAATGTACGTACTATAAAAAATATTGCACGAAATGATAAGACGTACTGTTAGGTTAGAATAAATATAAAATTACAGTAACGCACAATTATATACTGCACATTATAATTTCTTGATATCGGAAAGTAATTTTAATATTTTGAAATGCATTGTGTACTTGTATTAAGATATTTATGATAATATACATAAACTTTAAATTTATTGAATACTAAGTAATAAATATATTCTTTCTATTGTTTCACAAATTAGTAAAGATTTCATTCAGATAGATCATGATCGAATTGTACTATGTAATGTTTCATCAAGAATACATGCATACCTGTAAACAAAGAAAGAATGGGTTGGTTCATAAAAAATACGAAATTTAAATATATGTGTTAAAACCATTATTCTTTGTAAATTATTCTCCAAAAATTAAAATTTATTTAATCTTGTTATCATGATTAGTGTATAATGTTTTGAAGTAAGTTGCAATGAATTTCTATAGTTAATTTTTATTTTATAATAATATAATAAGAATTAAAACCATTTACAAGAAAATATTTATAATTAATATTGAAAAATATGGAATATTTGTAATAATAATTGTATTTTTAATTAATAATAATTTAAATAATTTTGATTTTTACAATTATGTAATATAAACTCTTATATATATATATGTATATATAGTATATATATATAAAATAGAGTACGTCATATACAAATCTTTTTATATATTCGTATACAATTTTTAAACTATATAAATTATAAACTATAATATAATAAATTATAAGTATACAATATAATCTTTAATATGAATATTATAGCAATATTATAGGAAATTTGATATATAAAGATATTTAAACTATTGTAAAAATTTTATATATATATTACATGATATATAGATATTTTAAAATTGTTGAATAAGTAATCTAGTTTTTTTTCAGTTTATTTAAATTTAGTGATAAAAGTTGGAAACAACTATTTATAATTGTAATTTAATAGTGGTAACACTGTATCAAGCATAATATTATTCGTGATTGTCATTCTTTGTTAAGTAGAAATATTATTTTCTTGTATATTATTTTTAAAATATTGTAAAAAATGTCAATTGAAATTGAATCTGCAGAGTAATTATTTTATATGTAATATTTATAATAAGATTTTTATATTTGTTCTTATTATCTATATTTTATTGTTTGATTTTAGTGTAATTCGTTTAATACAACAATATCTAAAAGAGTCGAATCTTGTCAAAACATTACAAACATTGCAGGTATTTATTTATTATTTTTATATATATTTTCTTGAATGAATAGTTATTATAAATCAACTTTTTTGATGAATTGAAAAAGAATACAAGTAAAATTATATAATATTTATAGGAAGAAACAGGTGTATCATTGAATACAGTAGATAGTGTAGATGGTTTTGTAGCAGATATAAATAATGGGCATTGGGATACAGTATTGAAGGCAATACAATCATTAAAATTACCAGATAAAAAACTCATTGATTTATATGAACAGGTTTGTCATTTATTATATATGTAAATTTTTTATACTTTTTATAATTATAATAATTTATTTGATATTTATAATAATCCATAGGTTGTGCTAGAATTAATTGAATTACGAGAATTAGGAGCAGCTCGATCATTATTGCGACAAACAGATCCTATGATTATGATGAAACAACAAGAACCCGAAAGATACATACATTTAGGTATAGTAAATAATGAAGATAATAATTTTACTTATTTTAATATTACATAATTAAGATATTGTATAAATTAATTGTTATATTATTATATAGAAGTGATTTTATAATATTTATGATTTAATTTTATTTTATTTTTATTTACTTAGTTTTAATATTATATTTTCATTTTTTATGTTGTAGAAAATTTACTTGCACGTTCATATTTTGATCCACGTGAAGCATATCCAGATGGAAGTACAAAGGAAAAACGAAGAGCTTATATAGCTACAGCTCTTGCTGGTGAAGTATCAGTTGTGCCATCAAGTAGATTACTTGCATTATTAGGACAAGCATTAAAATGGCAACAACATCAAGGTTTACTTCCACCTGGTACTACAATAGATTTGTTTAGAGGAAAAGCAGCAGTACGAGATCAAGAAGATGAAAAGTATCCCACTCAACTTTCAAAACAAATTAAATTTGGTCAAAAATCTCATGTAGAATGTGCAAGATTTTCACCAGATGGTCAATATTTAGTTACTGGTTCTGTTGATGGATTTATCGAAGTATGGAATTTCACAACTGGTAAAATCAGAAAAGATTTAAAATATCAAGCTCAAGATAATTTTATGATGATGGAGCAAGCTGTGTTATCAATGGCTTTTAGTCGTGATAGTGAAATGTTAGCTGGTGGTGGGCAAGATGGCAAAATAAAAGTATGGAGAGTTCAAAGTGGACAATGTTTAAGAAGATTTGAAAAAGCCCATTCAAAAGGTGTTACATGCCTTCAATTTAGTAGAGATAACAGTCAAATTTTATCCGCATCATTTGATACTACTATAAGGTATATAACATATTGAAGTGAAAATTTATTTTTAACATTAACACAATGATTTATATTTTATAATTGTAATATAGGATACATGGACTTAAATCTGGAAAAACATTAAAAGAATTTCGTGGGCATGCTTCTTTTGTAAATGAAGTAGTATTTGCACCAGATGGACATAATTTAATAAGGTATAATATCAATTTTAATATTTCAATTAATTGAGTTTTATGAAGTAATCATTAAATTTTTTCATTTATATTAATTAGTGCATCGTCAGATGGAACTGTAAAAGTTTGGAGTTTGAAAACAACAGAATGCATAGGTACATACAAATCTTTAGGAGCTGCAGATTTAACTGTTAATAGCATTCATCTTCTTCCTCGAAATCCGGAACATTTTGTAGTGTGTAATCGTTCAAATACAGTAGTAATTATGAATATGCAAGGACAAATAGTGAGATCATTCTCTAGTGGAAAACGAGAGGGAGGTGACTTTGTGTGTACTGTTGTAAGTCCACGTGGTGAATTTATTTATTGTGTTGGTGAAGATCTTGTGCTTTATTGTTTTTCTACATCATCAGGAAAACTTGAAAGAACTCTTAATGTAAGTTCGTTCACTTTGATAATTTATTTTTATACCATATATTTATTGATATTATTATTTTCACATTTCAGATACATGAAAAAGATGTTATAGGTTTAACACATCATCCACATCAAAACCTTTTATGTTCTTATAGTGAAGATGGCCTTTTGAAATTATGGAAACCATAAAATCAAATACTGTACTTTAAACAATATTTTCCAATTCTAATGAACTTTAATTGTATTATACAATTGTTATACATCTTTTATCCTTTTCGGAAATAAGGATAAAGATATTCATTTTTCTAAAATTAGTTTTTAGTTGCGCTTTATACTGTAATATAATAAAAATATATTACATACATATAATATAGTTTTTATTAAAGATAATATTATATATTTATAATTTAATAAATTTAAAATTTTAAACATTTATTATTCCAATTCTTTTGAATATGCTTATATATGATATAAATATATAATTTATGTATATTTATGGTATAAAAATATAAAAATTAAATGAATTTTGTTAAGATTTTTAATAGATAAAAATAAAATTAATCATGTATCAAAATCGTTTTTGAGTATATTTTTGTAGAACAAATATTAAGTACTATTTGTAGACGAGTAGAGAAAATAATAGGACAAAAATAGAAATAAAGTAAAAATATTAAAATCAGCACTATCTCGAGAGTATCACGAATACAGAGAGAAAATAACAAAAAAAAAAAAAAAAAATGAAAAAAAAATATAGATAGGATAAGAATTAACAATTAGCGCCATTTTTAATATTATAAAAAAATATCTTTTTAAAAGTATTTGTGAGATAGCGCTTATTTCCAATTCTTATTCTATCTTATTCTATTTTTAAAGATTTCTTTAATATTCAGGAGATGGCGCTAATTGTTAATTCTTATCCTCTTTCTATCCTTCTCTCACTATTTTCTGTCCTTTTTTTTATATGTTTCATTTGCGGCAACCTAGAGATGGCGCTGATTTCAATATTTTTATCTTATCTCTGTCCTTCTTTTTATTTACTCCTACTATTTATTCTCCTTGTCTATATTTGCGCATAGAGTATAAATAAGATACGGGATGTCAATCGAATACAATTCTATTATTTTTAAAATTATAATGCTTTAATTTTTAATAAAAAAAAAAAAAATATGAATTACATTTTTGATTTTACAATGTATTTCTAGAATGATTTCGTAAAATATAACGATACGAATGTTTTCATACAAGGATAATGTTCGGTGACAATAGCAAGATTTAACTAAATAATTATTTCATTATTAATTTTAATTATTATTAAAACTATAATTTTATTTTAAATCATATCAATTATATCGTTAAAATAAAAACAAAAATAGAGATCCAATGTTTAGAAATAAATAAGACAAATGGAACAAAAAAATATTATTCCGTGTAATGGATAAATTGACTTCTTGATTTATCATTTCTAGAAAATATAATTCTAATATATAAAAAAAATTAAAAGTCTGATACGAATTTATACTGCCGAGAATAAGAATTATTTTTAATAATGACAATAATATTAAATAAAATTAAAAATATTTTATATGCGTTCTCTTCGATATAGTATAATCGTACAGCCAGTGTGATCTTAGACATCATTTAAAATGAATAATAAAAACGTTCTCAGCTATTCTGCGCGTGTAGAACGAAAAATTCATGGATGTAAGTATCTGGATGGAAGTTGTGGTAATTGGGCTCGAGCAAATAAGCAATTACTATATTTTGGGTTGGCAAATATTATAATAACGGGCTAGAGGGGTTAACCAGGTTATCTGGAATATGATCATCGGTTCAGGCGTTTTAGAGAGCGCCAAAACCGGCACCAACCTGCTGCCCATTTTTATTCCTTTTTTAATATAGCTTCTTACTCAAAGCAGCTTCGTTAATATCTCCATAAAAACTATATAAAAATGCACATACTTCCGATTAACTTTATAATACAAATTAGATTTTACGATAACGAAGGGGGGGGGGGAATTAATAATCGCGAAGAAAATATTAATATAATAAAATATAATATATTTTAATTCCTGAAAAAAGTATATTAATAATTAATGAAAAATATTTGAATCGATCTTACGAATGATGCCTGTAACAATTAAAGATATTAAATTATTTAAATTTTTATCCCATAAATTGTAATACTTAAATGTAATAAATAGACTATACTCTTAACTTCTCGATAAAAATCTTTTTTAAAATATCATATTTAAAAATTTCATTTTATATTTTGTCGTTTAAACGTATTA